GCTAACCAGAATACTTTCCGCATAGATTTCAATATGAAAAATAAATAAGTAGGACACGATCAAACTTCAATAGAAAGCAACTTCGAACTTTTAATCTTGTTCGGGCAGGAGAAATGATCATACAGAATTCTTCCTGTCCAGTGTGGATAGGAGCCAAAATGTTAAAAAGTGACAGATCAGCCAAGGGAAATAGTATAAATGGTTACCTTGTTCTCCAGATATTTCCCCCCAGACTCTATCAGAAACAGGAGGTAGAGCTACAGAAGCTTCAATGTGACCTACCATAGCCACTCAGATTACCTTATAGCATACAATACCTATTCTGCTAAGGACCTTCAGCGGTACCACTATGTTAATGTTAAATTGTACACTGTCTGCAACTGAGCAGCCATTTATCCCCAGTACTGGCACAACCTGCACTTTTCCAAAAAATATCATTTGAGCCCATAAGTATTTTTTCTTCCTCCACTTTGAAGACTCACAGGTGGCTAAATCAATAAACTGAAATCCTCAGCCTGTAATGAGGCTCTTCACAGCTCACCTTCAGAAATTATTCTTTGTGCTTTAAGCTTTGCTGTTGAAGACATGCAATTCCAATGAAAGCAACTCCTGTGCCCTATGTGTACCCATCGAGAAGGTAACAACCATCCCCCTCCTGCTCTGGTGACAGTGGCCATGGGAATGCTGCTCCAAATCGCCCCTCTACTTGCCAGCACCTCTGATTCTTTGTCACCTTCGACAGTCTGGGATTTTGACAGTCAGTCCCTAAACTCTGAATGCAGGGGAAGGATTCAGTTTCCAGCTCTTCACAACAGTGGCTGGAGAATAAGCACTTTGGAAAGGCAGCCTCCTAAGACTACACAGGGATAAGTTAAATTCATTCTGTAGGTAGGTAGGGACTGCTTTTGCCCACAGACTCTTGAAAAGCACAGATTTTACTGGCAGGCTAATCTCCATGGCTGCAGAATGATCAGAATAGGCAGCACTCTGATACCACTTACCATAAGAGACATGGTACAACAGTGATTTTTTAGAACAAATTTATTAAGGAAGTCCTTCCTCTGTATGATTCTTTGCACTCTAGTGTAACACCATCAATCTCCTGCAGGTACACAAATCTGACTATTTTAATTCTCTTTATTATTCCAAGTGCTAATAAAGATAACTACCTGTGAAGAAAGTCAATATTTCTAAGCCAAGCTGCAGACCTATGGCTTCTTAATACATTAGGACAACAAAAAATTGCTGCTGTAGCTTTTGTGCAGCTATATTTATTCTAGAAGTGGAAGTAAAACATCATTCTTTTTTCATATATTATATTGTTCCATAGTACTCTGTTGAACAGCTCTCCATTCCCGAAACCAAATTCATATGAGTCGGAGAGAATCTGCCCATTGACTTGAATGGGGTTTGGATCAGATCACTTAACAGAAATAAAATGTGTGGAGCTATGAAGATATCATAAAATTTAAACTGGGTCTATAATATTTGTTTCTATAATATTTGTTATGAATATCAGGTTACTTCTGAATAAGCCTGGTCAAATTTATAATTGGGAGTTTCACCCCATCACCATGCTTCACACATTTACACTTTTTCTTTTTTAGGTAGTAGTCAAACAATTCTGTTTACTGTAACATGGGACATTCTGGTGTGCTACGAAGAATAATTACTAATAATATGAAATGGAATTTCTGATGATTTCATTTTGCTTTATGCTTTGGAAAGGAAACAGCTTTCAAAAATGTTACCATTTCTTTATATAGCTTGGCAGATTCAACTACAGGTATATAGAGAAAATCTTCTCAAGTACTCAAAGTGACCATTCCACATTCACTTTCCTCCTCTGCCTGAGTGCCTGGCAGCATTGTCTGTCACTGTTCTTGCTAGCATAAACTTCATGTTCCAAATGAAACAAGTTAAGACTTCACAAGAGCCAGAGAAAGATCAGGTGGGGAAATGAAAAGAGGTACTGATATCCCACCAGGATCTAGGACTGTAGGGTCAGAACGGTAGCTTGGTGATGAACAAGTGAACACATACATGCTCAAGGATGAACAGGAGAGGTTGAACATCTTGCTATGATCCTGAACAGATGTGGATCTAATATAATATGATTGTGACATATCATCCATTGCCTGGAGCTCTAGTGAATCTTGTCTTCACAAAATAAAGTGCAAAAAGAATTCAGTTTTGTATGCAGTGCCCAAAGCTGTGTGGCCAGATGTCTGGAAACAAGTTTGCACATTAGCAAATGGGAGATCACAAACACTTCTGGAGGAGAGGTCCCTCAATGGTTATGAAGAGATTTCATTAGAAGCACTTTTAAAAAAAGCCTTGTAAGTAATTCAGCTGTTAAAATATTTAGCAGAATGGAGTGAGGGATAGAATACAAGTTCTTGATTTTCACACAAGAACTGACAGTCCTAAACCAAGTAGAATAAATATCAAGCTATATATCAGGTGTTCAGTTACTCAGTAAGGGTCTCCAACTTCATTTCCTGATTCCAGGTGAAACAACCAGAAAGAAAGGATTTTAAACAGTAGTTATATAGAATTTTTCATGTCACACTGAAGAAATTTTTTTTTCAACTTTTTATTATGTTTACATATTAACTTATAATTTGGAAAGCACTTGCAGTCCATAATTTAGACAGATCACATTCTGTTTCTGTATTTCTAGCTTATGCAGCTTATGTACTTTTCATGAGCCTTTTGCTTTGTTTGTAATTCAAATTTGTTACAAAGTCTGCAATCCAAATGGGAAAAATTAGCATTGTGCAAGGATGCAGACAAGATTATTGGGCCGTAGTGAGAGTGGTCTCTGAAGGCATGAATGCTTACGCAGCACTGGCTCTTTACACTTGAGATTAAAGATATTTGAAATGTTTTCTAAAGATTACATTCAGATTCTGCTTGACCATCAACCATAAATAGGGTACTATCTGCATTCAAGATGGGAACAAGTAGTTATAGACCAACATTAATGTCTGTTATATAGACACATCACCAGTTCATGACACAGACCACACTGAATTAGTATGAATTATATACCTCATTCAAAATCTCATTATAAGAGATCAACTATTGAAAGTCTTATAATACAGCCTTTTATTTTAAAAAAAAAAAGTCCAAGTGAAATTTCCCGAGTGATAAGGTAAAACTATTTCACATGAAGTGTGTGGCACTGCTCCAGATTTAAAGCAATCATTTTGAAATGCTTCTTCAGTGGGTAAATATGAGGATTGCCAGGAGAGAAAGTGCCAAACAGTCATTTTGAGAATCAGTGTTTCAGCATAGGCTCACATGGTACTGATTTTTAAAATCTTGATCATAGCTTTGGGCTTTAAATTAGTATTAACATCACTTACAAGACATTTAAAGAAAGAGAAGATCTATCAGTGTAACACTGGAGATTCAGCATTTTACTTGTAAGTACTAAACAGCAGCCTTTCCTGAAGTTCACTGATGTCTCTGGAAAACTTCTTTATAATTTGTTCACAGAAAAAGCTTATGCAAGTTTCCCCTTTCTACACTTCTCAGTTTTTGTTTTGCTTGCTTCCTTAATGTTTTTGGACTCTATTATGAAGACATAATTGCTTAAGCAGATCATCGAGCCCTTTCAGAAAACAAGATGTTATGTTCTTCATCATCACATGAACTACTCCACACTGGAACATCATGAAACAAATATAACTATTTCAGAAGGAAAATAAAGACGGATGCTTAAGCAGAAAAGTCTCACAAGGAGAGAGGGAGAGCTTTATTCACACAACTGTTCATAGTAACCAGAACAGTAAGACGCACAATGAAAACCAGTAAGGTGAACAATTCTGAAGGAAGAGACAGAATGGAAAGCGCTGACTGATTTAAACAGTGACTTAGTTCAAGGTTTGAGAATGGCAAGGTTCACCTGAAAGGGGAGGTTTCTAAGCTCGTTTGCATGCTGAAGGACGTTCTTTCCTGGTGAATTACTCACCCTTCCTTTCATTGGATCTCAGCAGACAACAGAATCTATCCCAAAAGAGGCTCCTCTTCCTTGACATCTAACAGCAGTGAAACTGTAGAAAAGCCTGCCCTGACAAGCTCCCAGTGCAGAGAGACATCAAGGGTCCCAACCTATTGCAGTTCTTTGAGAGCTCAAGGGGCCTTTCCCTTAGGACGCTCACGTACACAATATAGATAACGAGTCTACAAGATACTTACATTGTGACTTACATGTGACTTACATTGATGCCTACTCTGTGGTATAATCACTGCTAATGAATGATCTGGGCACGATCAACACAGCATTTGCACCTGCGATGCGGAAATGTATAGGAAGAAAATACCACGTAACGAGTTGCTAAAGGCCTTTCTACTACTGAACAAGCTGCAATATGGTTGTCCTGTTAAGAACTGCCTTCAGTTTCTCAATAAGTTGCTGCACAATTATGCCAGATATTATAAATATTATTTGAAAGTTGTTTTTATACTAACACTGTTTCCTGCTGTCATTTGTTATGTAGGTATAGAAAACAGGATTTTGTGCTTATTTTTGACACTTCTTATCTGCAGTGACAGAGATGTAATGAAAACAGTCACAGTAAGAATAGCAGTCATTGCAGAAAAAAAATAATATTTGTAGGCCTTTATGAAGAGAGAAACACTAGATACCCTAAAAATTCTTCCTAATCCATGTGAGGGAGAACCCTCAGTCATTACAATTAACGTACTAATGTCAGAAAAGTTGACGTGATTGCTGAAGAAAGAGCAAGCCTGTAGGACAATCACTAAGCACCAATTAAAAGAAAATTTACTTAACCAGCCAACACTGATTTTGTAGCAGGGATGTGTTATTAGAACACATTGCAGGAAACAGTTGAATACAAATTAAAATAAATAAATAAATAAATAAAGAAAGAAAGAAAGAAAGAAAGAAAAAAGGAAAAAGAAAAAAAAAAGAAAAAGGAAGGAACCAGGGAAAAATCCAGTAATTAGAAACCAATAATTAGAACCACTTCAAGTTTTATGTCTTAATTAAAGCTGCCTGTCACCATTGTAAATGAGCCAACAAAGCGTTCAGAGATGAAGTAGTGAGCCAGAATAGAAGGGGAGTTAATTGCTTGTATATTTCTGGGTGCAATTCCAGTTCCTTGGATAACTAAGATTGCCTGGACATTTGCTCCTTTCCATGTGAACCATTTGGATGCTTTCCTTCTTCCTATCAGAAAGAAAAGAAACAGTCTCTCATCTCTTCCACCTCAAGACCAACTGCACCTATGAACTGTGGACTGACAGAAAGCCAAGACATTCATAGGTGAGTCCTTTCAGCTTTGTAAATATCATCTTTGATATAGGCATTGCAGGGGAAAAGTACACATCTCCTGTCCATCAGAGCAAGTGATTCTCTGGCAAAAATCTTTGGATCAGTTATGCTAACTCAGGAAATGCAAACTCCCAAATAAAATGTAATTGCTGGGAAGAACTGCCCATTTATCTCTGCTAGTTTAAACTTGCCAAGCATAAAGCAACCCTGTTTGCAGGGGAGCAAGGGTTTTAAACACTAAGGAAAATGGAGAATTTATGAGCAAGGAAACTAGGAAAACAAACTGCTGTTGCTTCTCCTTGAAATCAATATGAAAGGAAAGGGAGGAAGTCATAGTTTGATTTTCTGCCACACCGTTTTTATACATCTACTTGAACTATTCAGGTTCTTTGATTTTTCACTTAACTTATTATGCTCACTTTTATTTAAATAAAGATGCTTATAGGGTTTAGCTATTCAAGGCAAGATATTTAGCAAAGCCACTCAGAAGTCTTCTGTTAACAAAATGACTATTGATGCTGGAATGCAACTAACTAGCAGTTGCACATCCTAGGATGTCATCACTTTTAGATATACTGTTAACTGCTTGTGTCAAACTCACTGTTAACAAATTGGAGCCAGTAAAACACAGTGTAATTATCAGCCTGACCATCCAACACCAGTGCAATTAATTGTATATGTAAGTGTGTCTCTGTCTAGAGCTTTTCTTTCAATTCTGACTGCTATCTGTTAACACTGATGATTGTTGTATTAGGAAACCAAGTGGTGAGTTAGCCATCACAAAAGCTGGTAAATCCAGTCTAAAAATAGCTTCCATTTTCCAGAAGCTGAAAGGATGCCAGAGATAAAGTCTGAAGTCTTGACTACGTAGATCAGATTTGATGATGAAGAATAGTCTCTCCCAGCATTAAAACATCTGATCATTTTGATCAGCTGCAAACTGTTCCACAACAGATCTTACCTTTTGATGATTTTAGAGAACTTTCTCAAAATGTAAGTCATGATTTTGTTACAGGAATTGAGCAGGTAAGGTCTGAGACACAGCTGAATAGGAAGGTAAAAAGACAGTGTTGTTTTTTTTCCTGTGTTTTTTCCCACTCCCTCCCTCATTCACGATCAAAAGCCTTTGTGAAACAATTCACATACTGCGTAATAATTTCCACCAAAACCAAGCCAACTTTCACCCCTTCTTGGATTTGATGGTGCTTCTACTTCCTCTTGCATCCCTGGGTCTGCCCCATGAGGTTCAGCTTTCCCCCTCCTTGTCCTATCAGTGACCTATCCCTATTCTTCTAAAGGAGCCAAAATGAGGAGATAAAATGGTGGCAAAGCCCCAAGGTGCCACTGGCTGCTCCATGCATCCCTGCAGCCACATCTCTCAGCCCCTCGTACCCAGGGGTAGCTGTAGGTTGTGGGGGTTGAGCATTGCCCCCACTGCCCTCGGGAGCCCCTGGCTCATCCTAAGCCTCCTCGCAGAGCTCCCTGCCAGCCTCTTGGTGCCATGGTGCTGGGTGAGGAGGGGGTGCGAGCAGAGCCTGCATTTCTTTGAACCCCTGGTTGAGGGCAGGATCCTGAATTTCTCACCAGGCAAGTAAGAGGATGCCAAGCGCATAGCAAGGAGGCAGAGGGAAGACGAGCACAATCATTCCGTTTGCTCAGCGCTGACAGCCCTGACAATTGCAGGCTGTTCAGGCTGGCTTTTTGGCTCCCAGCCCTCTTTTATGCATTGTGGGCAGCTGGAGGGACCCCGTTCCTGGTGCGGGATGGTCTGTGGGCTCTCCATGGTGCCAGCCCCCAGCTGCCAGATTGAGTGTGGCCTTGGGGCACCCCTGGGGCCAACAGCCCCCTAGGACAGAATCACAGAATCACAGAATTGCCAGGGTTGGAAGGGACCTCAAGGATCATGAATCTCCAACCCCCCTGCCACATGCAGGGCCACCACCATTCCACCTAATGCTAGACCAGACTGCCCAGGGCCCCATCCAATCTGGCTTTGAACACCTCCAGGGACGGGGCATCCACAACCTCCCTGGGCAGCCTGAAAAGGACCCCCCAGAAGTCCCTCAGGAGCCCTTGGGTGCCAGCAGGGCTGTGCGGGCTGTTATTGAGCTGATGCAACTACACAGAAATTGTAATAAAGCACATGAGTACAGACAGATGCCAATACAGCAAAACCCTTCTAAAATCATAAGTTTTATCTCTCTGTAACAGCCCTTAAAAGCAATCCTCTTCCCTCTCTCACTCCTCCGCCCCACCTGTTGTGTACAGAGCTTTTCTATATGAACACTGAATGTTTATAATTGAAATTTTATACTAAAAGCATTTTGCTCACATTACCTTTTTTTTTTTTAACAATTTATTCATTAAATCACAGAGAGCAACATTAGATTAGACACTGTCTCTGAATATTTTTAGGAACAGCTACTCTGTCACATTACTGTGACATAAAATTTATTAAATCTAAGAAATAGAAAAATAAATACCTTATACAGAGAAAGGACTAATAAGAGTGCTAATTAACAGAGGGCTTCACTTAAAGGGACAAATTTTCAAGGAATTTCTCAGCACATTAAATAAACTAGGAAAAGCTAAAAAGTAACAGATTTAACCCAAGAGTGCTTACATCCTATACTATTGCTTATGGAATTCAATAATAATTTAAGGAGAAGTTCAGGCAGAACTGTCAAAATAGAAAGAACTGAACAAAGAAATCTAAAAAATATAATAATGTATGCTGGAAAAAGAGCTAAGAAAGATTTCAACCATGCAAGCTCTTCTACTTGTTGGATTTTGTCAGTTTATTGGAATGTATCATTTTCAGAGCTGCCCTCTATCTAGGATTACAGTGAGCCACACTTCTCTTTTCTTAAAAAGGAGTCTGATAGTGGAAAATGTTGGCATCACTCCTGGTTTCTCTGTTCACACAAAGCCTTCAGTGAGAGTTTTGTCAGGTTAGCTCACATGAGCTTCCTCCAAAGGGAACTGCGTATGATGCCAGCAGCACGAGAAATATTAGCAGAGAAAATAGAAAATGGTGAGATAACACATTCTGCTGCCACTGTATGATGACAGATTAACAAGCAGTACTATTATTTGGCTATGACTTTGAACACTGTAACAAGAAATGTTGGTGTCCAAGGAGGTATCCATATGCCCCTGTACAACTGAAAAGGAGAGCAGCTAGCACTGTAATTCCTGCTGTAGCAGACATTACTTGCAAATATGATGGAAGGCAAGCTTACATAACTCCACATCTAACCAGCAAGCATTAATCAATCTCAGCTCTGGAGTTTTTCATTAATTCTTAAACTATATCAGTAATAAGCCAGCTGTCTGACCTTCCAGTGTTTCACCCAACAACTCCCATATATATGTCAAAACAGGGATGCAAACACACAGATACCATAGTGATCAACTCATATTTTCAAAATAGTGATATTCCAAACACCTGAAGGCAACTAACTTCAAAGCAGTGAATTGAAAATTCAAATTCATTTTAGGAGTTTATTCTGGAAAAAAACATGGAGGCCAAGAAATAAAAGCCAAGATTTGAGAAGCTGTGGGTAAGGAAGACTCACATTCAGGTCTGTATAATTAGAGAAATCACAGTAAATGTAGCAATACATCATGCAATACAACCTACATGAGAGTGGAATCATGTATGTTCCTGAGACCTTCATAACTTTTTTCTTATTTTTAAATTATCCATGAACTGTCAAACTTTTACTCTAATGTTAATATTGTTTTTGCAAAAATCTGTGTAGACTAGATACTTTCTCTGCTTAAAGCCTGGAGGCACAAGATAGTGTGGAGTTTTCTGCAACTTGTGACAACAAGAGCCTTCATTAGAATTGCATGAGATACCTTGGCACATATTGAAGCAGTATTATAGCATGAAAATTAGCCTTTATTTATACCAAACTCCATGAGACTGTTCCTGAATTTCAACAGACCTTTGGCTTCTTTTCTATTTTCTGAAATGCTAAATGGGTAAACATTGGAATTGTCTAGCTCCACAAGGATATAACATTCTTTAATTTATCAATTTTAGTGAAATTTGAAGAAGGATGTTGCAGTTTTTAATTAATTAAGTTATGAATATACTTCATGGTAAGACAGACAAAAAAGACTGTGAAAACAACACTGTGGGGGGAAAGCATGAAGACAGCCTGTTATATACTGGTGGCAGCATTACCAACACTGTGTCCACTGTGAGAAACTGTACCATGCAGAAAGACACCATGGTAGTTTTAGTGCAGGTGTTCAGGAGGTAACAAGCGTGCAGGAATCAGGATTAATTTGTCTTTCTCGCTCCTTGAGCAATTTTTGATTTTAATCTGTGATTTTAATTATGGATTTGTAGTGATAGTAGAAGTGAGTGCATGGAGAAGCACAGCTGAGCAAAATTGCTTGGCAGATTTGCATTTCTCCAACCCTGAATACTCTCTAATGTGTTAAGAATATCTCACAGTGATACTCTTAAGCTTTGAGTGCATTTAGAAGGTTTTGGAGTACTATAGCTAAGAGTAGGGGTCTATCTCATCTTCTAAAAGGCCCAACTCCAGCCTGGTACTCCCCCATCATATTGGAGAGGCTGTATGTGACACTTCCTTTCTGAGAGGAGCAGAGGCACTGCACAAGCAGACTGTGAACAAGAGAAGAAAGGACAGAAAGAGCAAGAGGCGGACATACAGTACAGTAATCAATGTCTCCAACTGTTACTATCATATAGTTTTGCATTATTTTATAAGCATGTCATACCATCCATATAGATCATGCCATATTTCCATGTATCATAGCAACAGCATCTTGCCATGCTGTCACTGAGTGTGACAAGGGAATAATAAATATATTACAGAGTCCTACCTTTCCAACAGGAGAAACTGTAACAATTC